TGGCATTTTTTATTCCAAGACTCTTCCTTGGTTCAAAAGGTATCATCAAGTATAAATGGCCCAATCCTCTTTGCCTTCCTACATCTTCCCCTTGAGAAACCAATGTAGACTTACCTCTCCAGTAGCTACCTCCGCACTGCCCTCTCTTTTGCAGATAGCCTTCCAGTCTTTACAATTCTCTAGTTTCTGTGTAACTTAAGATAACGAATTCCAGGGATGGGTCAAGCTTTTTTATCAAGCTTTTCTCTGATCTCATGAACCTTCAAGGTTCTTGGTTTCACTTCTCAGATCACAGCCAACTGGACGGCAAGAAAAACATTCAATGATTCTATGTGGGTCCACGTTACATGGCTGAGAGAGGAGATGGGCCTTTCTTCCCTCCTTAGTAAGAAGGAAGGAGGGAAACACTTGTACTCCCTTATCAACACTCTATCTTGATAACTCTTTCTAGGCAGTAATCACTTATTTTAATTTCTAGTTTTCTCTTATGTGGATTGGAAATGGATGTTAATCAATATCAGATTCACCCTGTTTTTAACAAATCCTAGTGAATATGTCAGCACTGATTGCCAATTATTCTCTAAGTTCTCAGTGAAATTCCAAGTTGATAGGAATTAACAATTAACATCCTAGTAAACATCATTCGCTGACATCAATGTCTGTCTTCCCACTAGGTTTGTCTTTATAAGGGCTCTGTGTTTGCTCTCGTGAAATATGAGGCTCACGCATTTAGTATCTGGTGGATAGTAGCAGCTCAATAAATATGTGATGAAGTAATGAAAAGAGAATAATGAGAGACAATGAGAGACTTGTGTCACAAAACACCCTGGTTTGAGAGAACTAAGAGTTGGCCCTATTTTGAGAAAGGGTAAATAGGACAACGATTCTCTAAGCTTGGCTGCTCATAAGAATCAACCATAAACTTTTTATAATTTTTTAAGGGCGATTTTTGCTATAGAGTGCATGCACTCACCAGAGAAACAGAGAGAGACAGAAAGTGAGAAATCACCCCCCCCAGGGGGATGGCCAGGCTGCAATCCTTTCTCCTCCATTATCCTCTTGGGATTTTGTGCATATATGCACACACACACACACACACACACACACACACACACACACAGCATGAGTTTCAAGATATTGGGTCCAGGACTCGAACCATGGTCAGCCATGTGGGAGTCCAGCAGTGTAACCATTAAAAAACATAAATGCCAGGACCAGCAGGTGGCATAGTGGCTAAGGTGCTGGACTCCCACAGGGTCAACTGCAGTTTGAGTCCCAGACATGATGACTTGAAACTCATGCTGGGAGTGAGGCATGTCTGCCCCAAATTCCAAGAAGACAGTGGAGCAGAAGGGATTAAAACATGGTCATCCACCCTGGTGGGGGGGCTGATTTCTCACTTTCTGTCTCTATATCTCTCTCTTTCTCTATGGTGAGCACACATGCCCTATAACAAAATTCTCTCAAAAAATTAACAATAAAAATAAGTGCCTGGTCTTACTCCACTGTGTGCTGATTCAGTAGATATAGTTAAGAACCAGTGAGGTTTGTTGCGTAAGAACAGTTCAAATAATGTGCTAGGAGGGCTCAAGGGAAGGCAGGGTTAGACCCAGTTGAGAGTATCAAGAGAACTTTCTAGAGCAAGTGATGCACAAGGAGACTAAATGTGAGCAGATGGAGAAAGGGTCCTGAGAAGGATGGAGCTGGCAGGGAATGGCAGCCACTGGAGATGATATAAACAAGGCACTGAGGCTAGAAAGGTAGGATTCCTAACAGAATCCAGGGCACCTGCGGGGAGGAGGACAGGATAGGTGTGCAGTCCACCCAAATGCAAGTTGTTTCAATGCAGAAACCCAGTCTTGTAAAGTTAGGAAAACCATAGTGGGGAAATATGGTACAGTGAGCGGGTATGTGAGCTGTAACTCAAACTGCCTAAGTTACTCATCTACACAAGGAGGACAACAAAATTACTTCCAGTAAGAGGTTATGCTGAGGATTAAAGGAACTAATGTTTGTAATATCTCCTAGTACATTTTTATGTATGTGTGTGTACATATACATATATATACATGTATACACATACATACAAGTTGTATTGCACATAAATTATATATATACATACACAAATTCTCTCTATATAAATACACACACGCACACACACACACGTCTGTACCAACAGTCCCCAATTTACAACAGTTCAACTTAGAATGTTTTGACTTTACAAGGGATTTATCCAGATGTAATCCCACTGTAATATGAGGAGCACCATGGGACTTACCATGGAATTACAATGTCTTCTGAAATGCATATCACTTTTGAAACATCTTAAAGTCAGACAATCGTAAGCAAAAGTATCATATGTCAGGGACTGTCCACTGTGTTGCCAGCATTAAACGTAGCCTCAACTTATATTTTTGACTTATCATGAGTTATCATGGTGGTAACCTCATGGTAAGTCAGAGTCTGCTGCATGGATGTGTGTGCATGCATGTGTGTACACATACATATCTTTCCAACTCTGCATTCAGTGACACTCAGGTAGGCAACTTGAAATTGACAATTGACTATGTGTACCAGGAAACTGGCAAACCTGCAATCCTGAACCTTTTGTGTGTGTGTGTGTGTGAGAACTGGTTTACCTGCACTCCGTTAGCTGCTCTGGGAACATTGACTATATTGGAATGGATTGCACTGAATTGGGGTAAAAAGTAAGGAAAGGCTACAAGAAAACAAGAGCAAGTGCTAGAGGGAAAAACAGTCTGCCTAGAAAAGACAGAACAAGATCTTGGCCTTGAGTTGAGTGACAGTAAAAATGGAATATTTTTATTCTAAGCCAATACCCATTCCAACAAATTTTTCTACCCATCACTTCTCACCACCACTTCTAGAAAGAAGTGTGAAAATGACTGAGTAAAATAGATGCTTGGGACCAGCAGTTGGCGTAATGGCTATGTTGTTTGACTCCCATGTAGTCGACCACAGTTCGAGTCCCAGACCCAGTGGCTTAAACTCATGCCAGACGTGTGTGTGTGTGTGTGTGTGTGTGCCCAAGATCCCGAGAGGAGACTAGCATGGAGAAGGGATTGTGGTGTGGCCACCACCACCACCCCCGAGGGGTGATTTCTCTTTTTCTGTCTCTCTGTCTCTCTCTGTCTTTCTGGCGAGTGTACGCAACCTATAACAAAATCATCTCCCCCCACCAAAAAAAAATAGATGCTAAGAAGTTTTATCCATATCCGAGGTATAAATACTCAAAATAATTTGAGAAGTTCATTCTCTCTGTGAGGAAGAATAAATCCAGAAAGATACAGATTATAGTAAATTATCTGAGATGAAAAATCATTTTAAAAGTCAAATACTGCAGACCAGAAAAAAAATACTGTGATACTTTAGAAACACAAGAAACTTTATCATCAGAAGACTAGTAAGCACCATTAAAGGGAAATAAGAAAAGTTGTGAATAACAGAACAAAAAGAAATCTGAATAGCTATAAACTGTATCAACATTTAACCAAGTTAAGGCAAAAATAAGAATACATCTATACTTTTATTAGTCAACAAATTCATCCACTTTTAGTTTTCTGGCAGAGTTTGTGCTATTCCAAAGAATAATGAATGAGAACAAGTCCATTTAATGATAGGTATCACTTGTAAACAAATAAACGAACTTACTGAAGGGCTGGAACACCCCCTATTAAGCTTGTAAGAGGCTGACATCATTATTTAGATTGAACTTGCATGTGACTGACATCGGGCGCCAGCACTCTGTGAGAGAATATTAAGAACTGGGAGGGAACTTAGTAATAATCAAGGGCAATCATTCCACTTCGAGGATAGGAAAACAAACCCAGAGATTCTGATTAAGACTGTACTCTAATTTAGAAAAAGAAAATGACTACTTTTTATGCCCAAGACATTGTTTATACTACACCATGATGGCATTCAGAGTTTGGACAGCAAACAGATTTAGAAGACCATATCCTCCAGACCAGAGACTAGACAAAAAGCTTATCAGAACAAGGATCCCACCAATCTTCTTGGACAAAAATGTGGTCCGTGTTCACTTTAATTCTAGAAATCTTTCTTTCACAGTTCTCATTGCCTGAGTAGAATGAGGGGGAAGGCAGGGTTTTTTTCAGTCCCTTAACTTCCATAGATGACATCATGAATTTTAAATTGTTGTTGCCAAGGAGATAAAAGAAATACATATCAGGAAACAAAGAAATTGATTGCACTTCAAAGATGACTAGTCCTAGGCTTCAGAAAATCATTCGGCCTTTTGAATGGCTAGGATGAGCTCTCTACAGGAATGAAAACATATTAGTGTTCTAAAAATGCCCAGTCATTTATCTGTTCAGCAGAAGGACAGTGCGGTACTCATGGTATACTTTATGTGGCACGCAGCGTGAGAGGCCGTTCTCCTGCCATGCTTTCCAGGAATAGGCCACCCCTTACTTAATGAGACACCACCCTATTTCCAGAATCTAAAGGTGGTACCTTGAGGGGCCGGGAGGTGGTGTGGTGGGTAAGAGCTCTGGACTCCCACATGGCTGACTGCAGTTCATATCCCGCACCTGGCGGCTTGCTTTCTCTCTCTCTCTCTCTCTCTCTCTCTCACTCTGTCCCTCTCTGATCAAATTTAAATAAATAAGTTCAATAAAATAATTTATATAAGAAAAGATTATACCTTGAAAATTCTCAAACAAGAAAAGACAACTTTTCTCTAAGTTAACAGCTAGTTTCCAGTCAGTGAGTAATTTTTTATCCTGAAATGTACACTCAATGAAAAACAAATGAAAAGGGAAAAAACTCAGTAAACAAATCTGAAAAAGATGCCACAGCACACAGGAGCCTCTAAATTTACCAGTCAAGGAAAGCAGGCTCTTAAAGTGTATTCCAAACAAAACCATGAATTTAACTGGTTCCTGAGTTGAGCCTATTCGATGAATGACTTCCAGGGCCTCTGGCTCTTTGAGACTAAAGAAGAAAATTATTTTTAGCACGACTGTTTGGAAGCCTTTGAAAACCTGGATCTGCTATTCTGTCTGGTACTGAAGCAAGTTTTTTACTAAACTCTCGGGAAGATACCCAGTCTCTCGTGGATTTAGAATCCTGCAGCAACCGCCTTCCCAGAGCAAGGTACGGTTTTTACATTTTTTTCCCTAATTTTGGCAAATGTAGACTGAATGACCTATTGTTATTACATAGTAGATTTTGAGCTTATTAAACAGATAATTCTGTAGGGAGAATTCATGAAACTGAAGATTTGAGTTCAAATCTCTGTTCTGACACTGCAGTAATAGACAAGTTACTAGGCTTCTCTGGTTCTCTTTTCCCTGTCCAACCTATCACAGAAATTCCTTTGGGAATTTGAGATGGACTTAATATTTCTCTGTAGATTATAAAATGTTTTGCAAATGTCAGCATTAGCCAAAACTTCAGAAATCATGAACTATTGATAAATATTGATGAATACGTATTTTCCTTCATTCAACCTTCGTTGAGTCTCTACTGCGGTCCAGCCTCTGTCTCGGATGTTGGTGGGACAAGAAGCAAGGAAGTAGGTAGGCACAGCAGAGCGTTTATGTGGTCTTGCAGGGACTTGAGTGGTACCAGGAGAAGAGAAGTCATTCCAGAAAGGCAGGCACAACAGTTCTTCAGAGGAGAGCTGGGCCCCCACGTCAGAAGTGGAGAAGCCACGCACAGAAGCAAGCAGGGTGTAAACAGCGAGGCCCCCATCCTCTCTTGCTCACGGTGCCGTGCCTAGTGCTGCTAGAGAAAAACACAATGTGCCGTTGTGAAATCCCTACCCTGCAGGCCAAGGAAATGTCTTGCTTCAGCTCTTCCTGGGTACCTATTGCCTCCTAATGATTTCCAGGCAGTGCACATTTTCAACTTGAACTAATGAAGTCCAGCCCTTTGTCATGAAGTAAAATGTCATAGTTTCCCTCACATGAGGAAGGGGAAAATTCAAGTGTTTGGAAACAAAAAAAACCTTATTTGACTCTTAGCTGTGCCACTTCATGACTGTGTGGACTTGCGCCCACAGAGTTTCAATTTTCTTATTTGTTAAGTGAAGATAACAACATCGACTTCACAGAAAATGGCACGGAGGGCCAGCCAGCAACATGGTGGTTTAGGCGGCTGAATCCCACATGGCCAACTATGTAGTTTGAGTCCCAGACCCAACAGCTTGAAAAACATGCTGGGCAAGTGTGTATGCATGCCCAAAATCCTGAAGGGAGAGTGGAGGAGAAGGGAGTGTGGCACAGCCATCCTCCAGCGGGTGACTTTTTACATTCCCTCCATTCCCTCTCTCACTGTCTGTCTCTCTCTGGCAAGCTCATGTTCCCTATACAAATAAAATAAAATAAAATAAAATAAAAGAGGATGTCTTTTTTTTTTTTTTACAGAATTTCAAACCATTTATTGGCCAAACAGCCTTTGAACAAAGTCTACTTATTCAATATTCCCAAATTTTCTCTCAATTTCAATAGAAAGCCTTACACTCTTCCCTTAAAGAAATTCCACCACAGGACTTTGCTAAATCACCCCAGTATCAATGCTGGTATAAATACTGTGCCCAAAACATAAAGGTTACAATATTAAAAAAAAAAAAA